TTTTTGCTTTATAAGAAACAATATTCCTATGTTTCCCCTACATAATTTGCGTTTTTGATTCCAGTACATTGCAATACATACAAAAAAAAATTATGAGAACATAAAGTAGAAACAAATTAGGTATTAAATTCTTGAAGCCTATATTTTGTGGCAAAAAATATTTGAAAAAGTTTACAGAAAAACTTTTTTTATTATTAACAGTTTTTAAAATTTCTTGTAGATATTTACAGCATTTTTTTTTCAAAACATTAAAACAAAATGTTTTTACCAAAATTTTATAGTCAAACCAGAGTAGTGCACTTAACCCAGAAAATTATGACTTTTCGAGCTATTTTACAAAACTTTTATTAACAGGAATTGTTTTCATTTTTTAAATTTCTTCACTGAAACTACTCATTGCTATACTAAACTGTTCTTTCTTTTATTAGACCAGATAAAGACTTTATCCTGAAAATTATTTATGACTTTTCGATCTATTTTACTGAACTGCTGTTGACATGAATTGTTTTTATTTTTTAAATTTCTTCACTGGGGAAATTATTCATTGCTACAGTAATACTATTTTTCTATATTCAATAGAAATACTATTTTATAGTAATACTATTTTTATTTACTGGGTAAACTATTCATTTTGATAGTAATACTATTCTTTCTTTCATTAGACAAAATAAAGGCTTTATCCTGAAAATATTTGACTTTTCAGTCTATTTTACAGAACTTTTATTGACATGAATTGTTTTTATTTTTTAAATTTCTTCACTGAAACTATTCATTTCTACAGTAATACTTTTTTTTCTATATTCTATAGTAATACTATTCTACAGTAATACTACTTTTTTTTTACTGGGGAAACTATTCATTTTGATAGTAATACTATTCTTTCTTTTATTAGACAAAATAAAGGCTTTATCCTAAAAATATTTGACTTTTCAGTCTATTTTACAGAACTTTTATTGACATGAATTGTTTTTATTTTTTAAATTTCTTCACTGAAACTATTCATTGCTATAGTAATACTATTTTTTCTATATTCTACAGTAATACTATTCTACAGTAATACTATTTTTATTTACTGGGGAAACTATTCATTTTGATAGTAATACTATTCCTTCTTTTATTAGACAAAATAAAGGCTTTATCCTGAAAATATTTGACTTTTCAGTCTATTTTACAGAACTTTTATTGACATTAATTGTTTTTATTTTTTAAATTTCTTCACTGAAACTATTCATTGCTATAGTAATACTATTTTTTCTATATTCTATAGTAATACTATTCTACAGTATTACTATTTTTATTTACTGGGGAGACTATTCATTTTGATAGTAATACTATTCTTTCTTTTATTAGACAAAATAAAGGCTTTATCCTGAGAATTATTCGACTTTTCAATCTATTTTACAGAACTTTTATTAACAGGAATTGTTTTTATTTTTTAAAATTTCTGCACTAAAACTACTCATTACGATAGTAATACTATTCTTTCTTTTACTAGACATCATACATTTTGAATATATTTACTCACTGCTTCCACCAAAAAAAATTAAATTAAAGCGAAAGTGTAGAACGATAAAAAAAAATGCTTTGAAACATCTTAGTTCATTTTTAATAAAGTTTAAAAAAATATAATTATATGCAAATTTTGAAACAAAAACGACATTTTCATACAATAGTTTCCTCCTCTTTGTTTGCTTAAAACTCTTCTAATCTCTCTTTGTTACATTCTAGTTTTTTTAATAATTTTAATTTAAACTAAAAACACTAATTAAACTGAAGTGGTTTTAAACTCTTTCAGCAAAACTTAATTCTAAATAATTATTTTGTAAGTTGCTTGAAATGGGACAAGTATAATAAGTGGTGAAATATTTAATGAAACTTTAAAGTGTAATTAAATTAATTGAAGCAGCCGTTTTCAGTAACAAACAAAATAAAGATTTTATTTTTTCTTCATGCATTAAAATAAACCCTTATTTATTTACTTTTATTTTGAAATGCGTATACTTATTATTAGTTTTTGCACGAAATAAAAAAAATATCACTTTAAATAACTTTCGTTTTAATGACCGGTTTTTCACGAAATAAATGTTGAATATAATGCTAGTAATAAATAAATAAATTTCTATGGCAAATTCGGGTTTTTTTATTTTCAAAATATAGTCTCAAACTGGAAAATATTGTTCTGATAGTTAAAACAGAAAATTGGGCGAAAGTTTGGGACCCTTAATGATAGTTATTTCACCGGATCTCGGTAGTTTTTTTTTAAAGAAAATATAAACATTTTTGCACAAAATTATTAAATAAAATCATCCAAAAATAATTTAAATTGTTTCAATCATTCAATATTTTATTCAATAAAGGGTCGAAAAAGGTCATTAGGTATTAATTATAGGGTATACCGATTTTTATATTGTTTTAAACTATACGATTTTAAATGATGAAATACAAAATTTGTACGAATTTGATCATACAGTTCTGGAGAAATAAAATTTTAAGACATCGTCTTTTTTTTTTTTTTTAAAGTTTTATGACTTACACAATATAACTTATTTCGCCCAAGTTTTGAAAGATTTAAACTAGCATAGTTTAAAATGTAAAAATTTCTATACCTTACTACAGTGAAATCTTCAGGAGAGACCTTCTCTTTTTACGACAACTTTTGGGAGACACGGAATTTTTTGAATAAACTTTATATTGAAGAAAACCCTTAGGAGAGACCATTAAAACCTCTCCCAGCGAAAGAGTAAACGATAAAGGTAACAAAACAAGAAATTTAAGAAAACAAATAAGTAGATTAAAATATAATCAAAATATTTATGTGAGGTTCCTATTTAGAGAGCTCTTTCTGACGATACAACCTCTTGTTGCAATCAGAGAGCACTGAAGACGATGCATTACTTTTAGAAAACAAACATCTCAAACAAGCAAACCTCTTCTTATCTTTCATAGCTAACTAAATTTTATGATATATAATTAAATACAAACTTAAATATAAAATATATTTGTTCATTTATTTAAAATTTATCATTCATAATTGGTATATTTGTTTTTACACATAATTATATCAGTTGGGATAATTTTTATAGATGCTAAATTTTATACATCGATCTGTCTTTTCTAGAGGCCAACAGAAGTGGCGTTTCCGCACCGAGAAACTGACACTGAATAAAATTAAATTTGTTTGGGAAAAGTCATGCACCTTCGATATCAATTTTGAAATCAATGGAGGTAACCTCTGAAAACGACCCATCTCGATCAACGGCTATTTTACTGTGGTCGGTCCCGAGAGGTTTTACTGTGTTTATTTTCAAAGTAGTCTATTCATAGAAATTTTGATTTCGTATTCAATAATTCGACAAAAGCTATTTATGATGATATCTTTTTATTTTGCGCACTATAGGGGAGAGTGGGGTCAATTGTAACAGGGTACGATTGTAACAGAGCAAAAATTTCGAGTGTCGGGTTCTAGATTTGATTCCTAGGTGGCGCACAAGGTGTATTTAATAAATCTACATGTGCACATGTACACACCTGCTGGCAACCATTTTTATGTACTTTTGAAAGAGTTACATCACAAAAGCTATTTTCACGCTACGTAAGTGCTTTTTTTGGTATTAGAATATTATATTGTAAGAAAGTAATTTTATTTAAACAAATAAAAATTATTAACCGAATATGTAAGTGAACACCTTAATTAACATTTCAATAAAAAAAATTAGTTTTGTTAATTAACTAGCATTGTTTTTAACAAATGAAGCTGAAATGGCGTCTTGGGGACAATTGTAACAATAAGTAAAGGGACGATTGTAACAGCTGAAAATAAATAATCTTATGTTTACAAACCATTACTTAACTCTTTAAGAACCACCAATAGTTTCCTATATCATTTATATTATGTTGCATGTGCATTATTTTATTTGTCACCTTTCACAGCATAAATTAAAATTTTTAACCCCTTAAAGTTAAAAGTTTAACCCTTTAGGTCTCTGCTCATTATTATTTTTACTCCTAAAATATCACTACTATTTTGATCAATAAAAAAATATATCACAACTATGATAATATGTATAATTAACTATGTTTTAGTTGAATTTATGAACTGTTACAATTGACCCCGTAAGTGGGGACAATTGTAACAAGTGCACGACTGTCAAAAATTGTTAATAACTAATATAATAACATTTAAAATAAGGTATTTATTTTTTTTCTAGTAGAGGATAGTCTACTTTATTCGTCTGTCAATTAATACTAATAATATATTGGATTTTTTTTAGTTAAAAATAGTTAAGTAAAAAATGTTACAATTGACCCCACTCTCCCCTACATGTTGATGATACAGCTGTTAAAATACTGAGCTGCCATTGTCAACCGAGATACTATATATGCTATTTACTGTATATACTTACAATATCGTGGTGGTTCAGGGGATAGAGCACTCGCTTTCCAATGAGGTTAACCGGGTTCAAATCCCAGCAACGGCAGGTCGATAAGAATTGTGCCCCCCGGCTCTTACCGACCACAGCGCTGACGTAAAACCTCAGTGGTAGACGGATCATGAGTTAGAGTCCTCTTGCTTGCCGTGTTTTCCCTCTCCGTGTAAGGCAAATGCGAGTAAGTTCCATCTAAAAGTCCTTCACAAAAGCAAACTTGCTCTCAATACTTAATCCAAGAGTTCTCTTGTCTTTTGGATTGGGTTCAAAATGAGAAGGTTACGGAGTTGAACATTAGTAGCCGTAAACCCGAAATTGGGTCGACTGTCCTACGACGGTTATAAAATAAAATACTTGCCTGACAATTCAATAGTTTTTAAATAAATTTGATGTCTAACTTCTATTTATATAAAAAAATATGATTAAATACGTTCGAATCAGACTTAAGAGTGACTATTTTTCTTTTCTTTTCGGTAGAGTTTTTTTTTTACTTTTCTGATTGACTTGTTAAAAATGTGTTTTGATATAAAATACGATTGAGCTATTATTTATCTCATTCCTTTTTTTTTCCAGACTGAATTGGCTCCTGTGTGGGGATGATGTTCTGTCATTCCATTTAGTGAATGTGGGCCTTCATTGTACCGTTGTTGTCCTCCTTATGTATTTCTGTAAGGAGGTGATGGCCTGGAAAAGAGATGCATCTATCATTTCCGCACTCATCTTCGCTTCTCACCCCGTCCACACAGAAGCAGTGAGTACATCACTTATATTTAATAACTAATTGAAGGAAATTATTTATAGTATTCGAAATCATAATTTAAATTATAATTAAGAATAATAATAAAATAATAATAAAGTAAAATATTAAGAAATAATAATAAAGTAAAATATTCAAAAATAATAATAAAGTAAAATATTCAAAAATAATAAATTATTACTAAAAGTAATTTTTTGCTTGGAATGATCATTCGATAAACGAATTTTATATTGTGTGCTAATATTTTTCGAATCGTTTTAAAAGTTCTCGAGATACGGCGAAATACACAAAAAATGAAATCAACATTAAACTAGACGCAGTGGCGCGACAGCCCATAGAGGGCCAAGGCCTACTGTGTCCATCTCAGTTTTCTTGACCTTGGGCTCTAGGGTGCAAGAGCAGATGTTCCGGTTAGGCGGTTAGCCGAACGCGGAACCCCCAGTGCTTAGTTCCCAAGCATGCTTGGTACTCATTTATCGACCCACTGAAGGGAGGAAAGGCTGAGTGAACCTCGCCCTGCCCGAGGATCGAACCCCGGACCTGTGGCACGGGAGCACGAAGCGCTACCACTCAGCCACCGGGCGTCAAATCAGCATTCAGGAGTCCAAAATTTGGACCGCTTTCTTGATCAAACTATTCAGATTTCGGCTACCCCCTATATTATTTCGAGGGGGGGCACAAATCTGAATCCATTGGAAAAAAGGGTATGTTATTCAAAGGAAGCATGCTTTTGTGTCTGATTTCGTAACGTAAAAAAATCGTCTGCACTAATTAATTAGCATATTTGGGGAGACCCCTCTCATCATCGAGCGTTATAGGAGTTCTACAAAATTCTTAAAATCTTAATTTTAAATAGATCGTGATTCTGCAATAGATCCAAAATACTCAATACGGAAAATATTAGCAATGACAAACGATGAGAAGTTTTCATGTTTTTCCTCTCTATTTAAGGCAAATACTGGATATTTTCAGTTAGTGCTGGTTAGTTAGTGAATCAAAAAGTCTTACTTGAAGGCTAGTTTGACCCAATGCTTGATAAAGACGTTCCCTTGTCTTTTGGATTGGGTTCGAAATTAAAAGTCGATGGAGTTGAACATTGGTAGCCGTAAACTTAAAATTGAGTCGGCAGTTCAATACCCGTTATAAAATACCTCTGTTAGCAACGTTATCAAAAGAATGCAAAACTTTACAAATTCAAAGCTTGTAGTTAAAAAAAAATTCCTCTGGTTGATTTGTTGAATCAAACTTGCGAGCATTTTACGAAATGTTTAAAATCTTAATTTTAAATAGAGTTTGACGAATTAACAGATCCAAAAACAAAAAAAACTCAATACTGAAAATACAGTCAAACCTCGCTATTATGAACCTTCAAGGGACCGAAATTTCAGTTCACTATAACCGGCACTTTACTATTCCCGTTCAGCAACACAATTTTAATTAATGGTTTCAACCCACCTCCCTTTTATTACACATTATTTAAATGAACGAAAAATAATACGTAGTAACAAAAAATGTGTTAACTTATATTTTTTATTACTCTTCGTCTTGCGCACACAAAAAATTAGCAATTTTAAGCTGATGAGCAATCCTCAACATCAGATAAGGAAACACTTCCCGACTCTCAGATAATTTTTCTTGAATTTATGTAATTCCGCTTTTTAAACCCAGCCATTCGAGCACATATAAGTAGTCTCACCCAATCGCTTGGCAAATTCATCGGCTTTGACTTGAAGAATTTTTCCAAATACTGGAAGATTCTTTGAATGCTGAACCAATTCAATAACGAAGCAAACATGAAAAAAATGCTCGTTGATACATTCCATGCTATGGATGGTTTTAAAAATCGGTATATGTATTTATTTAGAAGCAGAAATTTCAAAATTGTTACAAAAAAATGAAGAAAATCAGTCGAAGACAGGAAAAAGTTCATATTATCCAACTTGTTCTCTTTTTTTTGGGATCACTATATCTACAAAAAATTACATTATACGTATATAGCAAGGCACGGAAGCGAACACTTCTTTCACTATATCCGGGAGTTCACTATAAACTATATTCGCTATAGCTGGTTTTGACTGTATTAGTTACCTCTTATTAGTAAAATAATACGTATGGTTAAAAGCAAAACTTGTAATTAGAGCAGCATTTCTTTGTTTGACTTGGCTAGTCTCACTTGCAAGCATTATGGACTTTTACCTAATTTCTCGAAATCTTTCTCGAATGCATCTATCAATTCTCAATAAAAGCGTATCTTTCAAAACTAACAAAACATTCGAGGAAAATTTTGACGAGGAGGTCAAATATTGAAAGTAGTTTGTTCCAAGAACGAACTCGCACTCTCAAGCTCGCTCTTAAAACAAACCCTCCTTTCTAAACAGGAAAGAAGATCTTGTTTGTTTATCTTCAAAACTGCAGCCCGATTTTAATTAAGATAGTGCCTCTACCCATTAACGTTCTAAGTGACGATAACCCTGTCTTTTAAAAGAGATTCGTAGTTTTGGGGTTCGTAGTTTTAAACCTTGACTCGGGGAGAAGAATGTTCCAAATAGCAAAAGTTTTCACCTCGATCGAAGGAAACGATAATGTCCCCGCCGCCATCGTTTATCTGTTACTCGATAGTATGTCGCCCTTCTTATGGAAATTGAGTTGTAAAGATGCTGAGGATTTGAATGAATTAGAGGTTAATTACCTCGCCAAAACCTAGTGTATGATAAGAGATCTTTTCTTTTTAAGTTGGCGCCAAATCTTATTCTCTGCGGTTGCAGATATTGTTTGTTTTAACAGAGGGGGGGAGGGGGCTGAAAACCATGAATTATTTAAGGGTTAAAGCTATGAATTATGCAAAATTTAAGGCCTCCAGAACACCTGCAATCGGGCATATTGTTCGAAAAGGGAAAAGAGGGGGAGAAAAGAAGATTAACTCTGAATGTATTTTGGCGGCACAATAAGTCTGATAACGTGTGCTTGTGGGGAAAGCCGCCAAGTGAGAAGGGAATTGGAAAGTTGTTCGATGTTGCTTTTGTTCCTTTCGAGTTTTATCAGATGATTTAAGCCAAAAGAGGAGACTTTTAAATAACCTGGTAATTAATTGCGGGTTTTGGCAAAAGGTTCTTCGGAAAATTAACATTTATCTGATTTTAGATAGGTAGTCTTTTCGGATTCTTGTGCCTTTTTAAATATTTATTTCGCTATCATAAATCGAAATTTATAAGTACCAGAGCGCTCGCGTTTGTATGATTGATCGCGCAAACGATTGAAGTCACGGGACATATGCTTTTCAATCAAATTATACCTGGACTTTTGCGTCATCCTTCGAAGACTTTTAAGTTATTTAACTGAAAGAAAAATACTTAAATTTTGAATAATTTACATTGTTTTCTCCTTGGTGTAATCTAGCCTAGTTCTACTACTTTATTTAATATAAGCAGATTGCAATAGTTTCAAAAATTACTGTTTTAATTCTGTGAAAAGTTATATAAATATTCATTGGCATATTGTAGGGGGATTTAGATGGTAGTTAAAGGGTTTATTTAGAATTTGAGAAGACTAAATTGTTTCATGAGAATATGTCTTTTATTTTAAAAATAAATAAAATTCTTCTTTTCTATTTAAATAATATTCTTACAGGTCCTTTTTATCCTGATCTCTTTTCGGACCAGATACCAAAACATTGTTATCTCTTTAAACATATTCCTTTATTTTTCTGATACTAGACAGAGAGGTATTTCTTAGAAATTTCAGCATTATTAATAATTAAATTTTTAAAATCAAACTTTGTTAGTAATACCCCTATTTTTAACAAGTTTGTCATGAATTTTAGTAAATAGAATAACGGACTTGACACATATATGTTTGAAGCAATAAAGAAACAAAATTATTTCAAAAACATATTAAATTTATGTTTGATTTAGATTAGAAACGTAATAAGCTAAATTATGCAGTTCAATAAATAAATATTTTTATGCAACCAATCATGGAAAAGAGAAGACTTACAGGAAATAGGTATTCACCTCTGAAAAACTTTTGCTACGTTAGCCAGCGAAGAAGATTCAAAATGGCTGCTTATAAGCTATTTTTTCTAGTAAATATGTGTTTCCATTCATAAAATCTAATTGCTTAAAAAATGTAAACAAGCATAGTTTTAAAAATGTAATTTTTTTTTTAGTCTAGTTGTTTAAAATTCGCAAACATTTCAGGGCAGCGATATTTAGTAACTACGTTATTTTTTATTAATTGTCTTAAAACCTTTCTTAAAATGTAGTTTAGAACATTGGCCACTAAAATAAAATAAGTTCATAATGTTTAGAAAACGATTCATAGAATTATAATATATTTCATTTTACTTTCAATTACTTTCTTTTTAAATACTTTTTTTTTCTTAAATAACGCTGTTTTTTTACTATTTAGTTTTTTTTTAGCTTCAGGAGGTTTTTGACATTTGTTTGTTATTGAATTATATAAATGTTTCACATGATTTTTCTAATAAACCTTAAAAATAATTTTGATCAAAATTTAGTAACTTACTATTATTTATATATAAAAATAAATATGAAGATATTTTTTCTGCAGGTTTCAAGTGTGGTAGGACGAGCAGATGTGTTATGTTGTGTTTTGTATTTATCTTCACTCATTGCATGCTCCAAGTAAGTATGACGTCATTTATTGTATGAGCTATATATGTATGAGCACGAATATGCAACCAAAAAAATTTCTTTTATTTTCTAACTTTGATTACTTTATTAAGAAATAGTAATAGGTAAATATATAGAATTATGTATGTGTTTTATAACAAATTATCTATCACCATTTCTTCTTTCGGAAAGTGTGACATTCTCTAAACACTTACGACTTACAGGTTTTTTTATGTACTGAATATTAAAAAATATTATTTATAGGCTGATTCAAGGATTTTTACGTAAGCAGTACAAGCATCCATTTTCTAAAAACTTACAACTTAAAGGTTTTTTTATGTACTAAAGATTTTAAAAAAATTATAAAAAGTATTATTTACAGGCTGATTCATGAATTTTTACGTAAGCAGTAAAAACAGCCATTCTCTAAAAACTTACGACTTAAAGGTTTTTTTATGCACTAAAGATTAAAAAAAAATTATGAAAAAGTATTATTTATAGTCTGATTCAAGGATTTTTACGTAAGCAACACAAGTAGAGTTTTTTTTTAAAAACATCTATAAAAGTAATTAAAAACATTGTTAAATGTTCAGTCAAGTTTTAAATACAGTAAAAAGGAATATTTTAATACTTAATAACTATTAATATCTAGTATTTAATTAATATGACTTTTAAATTTGATTTTTTGAAAACCAAGAGCAGGATTAGCTCTTGAATATGGTTAAAAATTCTTGAATTTTAAATGGATATCAGTTCAACTTGCACATTCACAAATATATAATTCGATACAGCAATAATATATGATAGTCAAATATTTAAATTTGAAAAATTGTTTGTTCGTGCAAAACTTTAAATATTTATACCGGATACAGAGATCATATTTAATCTCTTACTGGTGGGCTTCTCTCCCTGCACGCTGACGCCACCCATCCTCCGAAGATAGCAATGGAATCTCATATGGTTTGCTTTCCAAACCATGCTCGCTATAAGTTAAACCCATTTAAAATGTGTTCTTGTGTAAAATCTAAAAAATTTATATTATAAATATATAAATATAAAATTATATAAATAAAATTATTTAAATATTTAAAACTAATGCCTTTTTAAAAAATCAAAATATTTAGTCAATTATGAGTTGTTGAAACAAAATAAAATAAAATTTAAATAAATGACATGCAATAGAAAAACTTAAAAAACCGGGAAAAAAAACAATTAAAACAGAAAAAAAACCATTATTCTTTTACAAAACAATTACTATTAAGGATTCACACAACTTTCTTAAAAACGCACTTGTAATTTTAAGACCTTTGAGCTATCACTATGAGACTATGATCATTATTATTATTATGAAAAAAATTATTGTCATCGAACTTGCTGAAGTATGTATTATTAAAACATTATATAGAAAACTTAAGGGATATGAACTATTCGCTTTTAACCTTTAAATTTTCCCCAATTTATAGCTCAGTTTGTTTCAGTTTTTTGTTGTCCATGCGAGAAAAGAATTTTCATTCGAATATTTGTTAACATTTACGTTTACGCCTTCATGCTCGTGACAGCTTGTGCGCTTGATATTTCAATAGATTTGAATCCCTTGCAGTTAAAATAAGTTATCGAAAATATTTCTGAAGCCGAGTTGATTGACTGTATTAACTAATGTATTGATTTCTTAACTGTAGTAACTGGGTTTTTTGACAGAAAAATAATTTAATTTTCAGATTTCCAAGTTAATTAGAAAAATTAAACGATTTTTTTGCCTTTTATTGAATTACCTTAGTTAATCTGCGCATCTAGATAACCTGTACATTAACTAATATCTTCATTTTAATGGTAACACTTTTAGTAATTTAGTACACAGTGTTACTTTTTACATTTAAAGTAAGTTACAGTTTATTACAGAAGTTTTTTATAATAACTAATAAAAACAATGACGGAAGTTTTTTTTAAAGTAATTTCTTTCCCGCTAAATATCACCAACATAGGATATTACTTTTTGTTTAGCCAAAGCTATTTATGATTTTGTTTGTCTTTTGTCCTCGATTCTCGATTAATTGGTAATTTTCCTACACTTCAATAGCTGAAACAGCAACAAAAAAATCACTTTTTTCCGATGACATTCTTCATTGAATATTGGCTTGATAAATGTATCAATGAAGCGAAACATATTAAATGGTCTAATCCTTCAACAACAACAAAAAAATCCACTTCGCTTTATTGTTCTAATCTAAGAATAAGTTCTTAAGCACTGTTTTGTTATATTGTTCATCAAAAAAGTTTCGGGGCAAATTTTGTAACTTTGCCTCTAAGTAATTAAGGTAAGTTCTCCACTGGACTTGGTTTCAAAATGGCGAACCGGAAGAATTAGTGAAGGCGCCTTCCACTAGATAATTAACTCCTCCACCACGGAGCGGAGTTGAGTTGGAAAAATCAATTTACCGTTTAGTTTTAACAGAGTGGAAGTTGAAGTGAAAGTTTCTTCCCCCATTTCAGTATTTTGTTTTTATCTTTAGCTTTTTGTTTGAAAAGTTTTCTAGCTGTGGTGAAAACTTTTTCCCTCTTCTGAGTTATTGAAGGTGTTATCTCGGTCAATTTCATTTTCACTTCTTTTAAGTTTTGGGGGGCCGAAAAGAAGTAAAGAAAAAGAAAGCTTTGGACCAAAAAATGTATTTTCGATGTTAATTTTTTTCTTTCTTCGAGAAATTCAATTACGAAAGGAGAAATTATCTGTTGGGGGAAAAAAATACTCGAAGCCTAAAACGTAATTGAGCTAAAGATTTTGGTTATTACTTACCTAAATTGATTCTATTTTTGGTGATTCAGATGATAATGGTCTAAGAAGTTGTTTGGAACATAGTTTGAAGACTGGTTAGAATACAAAATCAAAATTTCGAATTATACAAGATTTTGTTATAAATTCTGCAGTTAAAGTATTATTTTAAAATCTTTACCAGAAATTAAATCACAAATAGTTATATATTTACAGTATGTTATTAAACCGTGTTATTTAAAGTCTGTCTGTATAATTAAAACGTAATTGAGCTAAAGATTTCGGTTATTGCTTACCTAAATTGATTCCATTTTTGGTGATTCAGATGATAATGGTCTAAGAAGTTGTTTGGAACATAGTTTGAAGACTGGTTTGAATACAAAATCGAAATTTCGAATTATACAAGATTTTGTTATAATCTCTGCAGTTAAAATATTATTTTAAAATCTTTACCAGAAATTAAATCACAAATAGTTATATATTTACAGTCTGTTATTAAACCGTGTTATTTACAGTCTGTCTGTATAATTAAAACGCAACTGAGATAAAGATTTTGGTTATTAATTATTTAAATTGATTCTATTTTTGGTGATTCAGATTATAATGGTTTAAGAAGCTGTTTGAAATATAGTTTGAAGACTGGTTTAAATACGAAATCAAAATTTCGAATTATACGAGATTTTGTTACAAACTCTGCAGTTGACGTATTGATTTAAAATCTTCACCAGAAATTAAATCACAAATAGTTATATATTTACATTCTGTTATAAATAAATTAGCGTTTACAAAAACTAATTTAAAAATAGTCCTATTTGTTGTCCGTCTGAGAAATTTTAATCATATTATCATGAACCGTTACCAATTGTAACCAAACAATTATCAATTAATTCTTTATAATATAACTATGTAACTGTGAATGACCAAAATTCGTGATTGTTGACTTCCAACGGTGAAAGTTGACAATCACATAGTCGCTTTGGTAATTGTCCGAAATATATACTAGGTCTAGTTAAGTGCCACTATTTGGTATACATTTGCCCGGTATGCCCTACATCAATGTTTTTTTTTAAGGTTCAGTGCTACTACACTGGTTATCATAAATTAAGGAAAAATCACAAAAATAGCGATAACTCTTTCAAAAGTAAGCCAAACCGTGCAAAATTTGCATATGTTGTCCACTAAGAGTAGCTGAGTAAAATTGCAATATGCAAATTAGTGGCGCTGCACTCGGCTTACGTCATCTGCCTGGAGCATAAAAGTCCAAGTTTGAGAGAAAGCACACAAATTTTACTGTGATTGCGACATTGAAAATCTGAGATAGCCAATTCGTAATAATGACCTCTAGGCATCATTTGCCTGAAGAACTACGATGGAGAGCCATCGGGAGACTAGAGGCAGGGCAGAGTCAATCAGAAGTGGCCAGATGGCTAAATGTGAGTCCATCTGTGGTTCATAGACTTTGGAGGCAATTTCAAACCACAGATTCGGCATCTAGGAGGTTCAGTCAAGGACGGCCAACTGTTACGACCAGTGCCGATGACCGATATTTGACATTAAGTGCACGCAGGAATAGAACCGCTACTCCGACACATCTTAGATCCTCTCTTGCTGCAGCCACCGGAAGGTTGGTGTCAACGTCAACTGTGCGCAGAAGGCTCCACGAAGGTGGTCTGTATGCGAGACGACCAGCCATTTGCGTGCCGCTCACATCACGCCATAGGAGAGACCGTTTGCAGTGGGCCCGACAACATGTCCACTGGACGTCAGATCAATGGAGGCCTGTTCTCTTTACGGATGAGTCCAGGTTTAGTCTAGAAAGTGACAGTAGACGTTATTTGATATGGAGAGAACCTGGGACCCGTTATCATCCATCAAACATCCGTGAAAGAGATGCATACGGAAGAGGCAGTGTCTGTGTTTGGGGAGGCATATCCTTAGGAGGGCGCACATACCTCCATGTCTTTCCAAGGGGAACCGTGAATGCTCAGGTTTATCGAGACAACATCCTTGATGCTTATGTGCGCCCATATGCCGGGGCAATTGGTGATTGCTTCCTGTTACAGGACGATAATGCAAGACCACACAGAGCTCGCATTGTTGATGATTATCTTCAACAGGAAACAATTACTCGCATGGAGTGGCCAGCTCGATCCCCGGACTTGAATCCTATCGAGCACGTTTGGGATGCTCTAGGGAGGCGTGTATCTGCCATCAATCCGCCCCCTCAGACCCTTGCCACGCTTGCAACTGCTTTACAAGAGCAATGGCTCTCACTTCCTATTGAACTGATAGACCGCATAATTGAAAGCATCACACATCGCTGTTTGTGCTGTATTGCTTCTAGAGGCAATCATATTCCATATTAAAGGTACTTTTTCTATTGCAAACCGATACTTCCAATTTGTTTATTTTATACATGTGCTAATTTCTATACTACTATTAATGTCTGATAATTTCTTTTTATGTTGTTTAATACCTTACTATGTGTTGTATATTGTGGGTAAGTTTCATAAAATTCCATGTGTAATTTCTTGAGTTATCGCGATTTTTGTGAATTTTCCTTAATTTATGATAACCAGTGTATATGCATTTAACCTGTTCTCCAGACACTGATGTTTCCCCTAATCTATCCTTGACGGATATTAAAATATCGAGTAAATATAATAATATCAATGAATAAATTAATATCAAAGCGGATATAACAAATATTTCGGACATTCGCCAAGGATACTATATGATTGTTGACATTCACCGGTGAAAGTTGACATTCTATTGATTTCACGATAACAACTATATCAATCAAGTCAAATTTGGAGTAAATTTTTCCGATGCTTTTAATTCAGATTTTTATTTTTTTTATCAAATGTTATTGAAATTGATGTAATCTGTAAATTTCTGATAATGGGCGAATTGTGTAACAGGTGCGTAGTTGTCGAAACAATTGCCTACTGTAATACTATACTTTAATTTGTTTATTATAGTTTGAATTATTTAAGATTCTTCATACTCTTATTGAATGTATTGACAAGAATTTTTTTTAGGTGCATTCATCTACAGAAAAATACACGCGATTCGTGAAAAAGAAAATATTATTTGGTTGTTAATCCGGGCGGGGAAAGAAACTGTCAATCTTACAATAAAATACGAAATAAAGAAGAGAGAAAAATATTTTTCACTTCTATTTCCATGTTGAGAGCATTGATTGACAATATTACCATGCCATCTTGGATCTTATGTTCTTTTTTATTTTCAATAAACTTCTGAAGATTAAACAGGGCATTGCGTACAAAGAAAAGTGGAAAATAAAATTTTCTATTTGATTACTATAACTTAGAAAATTCTTCTTAAAGGTTACAAAAATAATTAAATAAAATTATTCAGAAGAAGGAAAATGCGGTTCGTCTTATAAATGAAAATAAAGCCTGACAACATGAGTAAAGAATAAATAAAGCGACAAAGACAAATATACTATAGTTTTGATTACATAACAAAAAACCTTCCTCAGTGTGAATCACAGAATCAGTTAAATCCTCTCGTTTTATGTATTAATTTTCAACACTGAGGAAAATTTTTGATTGTCAAACTAAACTATATTTTGACTATATATATGGCTTCATTTGTGCTTTATTTGTATTTTCTTACTTTATCTTTGATTAAAGTTATTTATTAATTTTGCATGCATTTTTTTACAAATTTAGGCTGAGTAATTTTTGATAAATAATTAAATTCCGTATAGTGGTTCATTTTTATATTCCGCTTTACTAAGAGATTTATTTTTTCTGTTGCACAAAATTTTCGATTGAGTTCTAATAGAGTATTTTGGCCTTTTAAACTTCCGAATTTCAAAAAAAAAAATTATAATCAAATTCCTCCAATTATCTCATTTCTGATTTTTTTAAATTTTATTTTAAATGTTCTACAAGCTGGGATTTCCTTACAGCGCAAGCTTCTAAAAATTAAAAATAAACTGAATTTTAAATAATATAATAATTAAGAATAAAATAGGAAATTAAAATAAATCTATTCTACAATTAATCTGAAACTCCACAATCCTGAAAATTTGCGGAATAAACTTGTTAGGAAATAGATTCGTAGAATAGTCAGAAATTCCACAAAAGGTCCCAATTCTGACTTTTTGATCATGAATGATTTATAAACTGGGGCATTTTTACTAGGGAATCCTTTAAAAATTAGAAATAAATAAGCCTGTGGAACTTAAAATCAGTGTATTAATGTGTGTTTATTCTTTTTAGAAACACCCTGCTGTGGCAAAGCGTGAGCTTATTGTGCGCCGGTTTGGCATTAATCGCCAAAGAACAAGGAATAACCGTCCTCGGAGTTTGCCTCGTCTATCAGCTACTAATGCTGATTGAAAGGAACTTCATCAGGTAAGGCAAATCATATTTAATTCGACAATTATTGGTTTTATTATTATTGCTACCCTTAGCGGTCGTTTATTGGTCCTGTAATCGACTTTATACATAGATTTAATCTGTTACGACCTCTCAACCTAAGGCACTATCTTCATAACTTATTGTTTGCGTTACATAATATCAACCTACTGCGCCATCTTCATAACTAATTGTTTGTGCTACATAATATCAACCTACTGCGCTATCTTCATGACTAATTGTTTGTGCTACATAATATCAACCTACTGCGCTATCTTCGTAACTAATTGTTTGCGCTACATAATATCAACCTACTGCGCTATCTTCATAACTAATTGTTTGTGCTGCATAATATCAACCTACTGCGCTTTCATGACTAATTGTTTGCGTTACATAATATCAACCTAAGGCACTATCTTCATGACTAATTGTCTGCGTTACATAATATCAACCTACTGCGCTATCTTCATAACTAATTGTTTGCGTTACATAATATCAACCTAAGGCACTATCTTCATAACTAATCGTTTGCGTTACATAATATCAGCCTTCTGCGCTATCTTCATAACTAATTGTTTGTGCTACATAATATCAACCTATTGCGCTACCTTCATAACTAATTGTTTGCGTTACATAATATTAAATTTCGTCATTAAGAAATGCATTTTAGTCGCCTTGGCAACAAATTGATATCATATTTGGGAATTAAACTTAGTTGATATTTTAATGTTGTGAAGAGCGTTCTTTTTACTGTAAATTTGGGATGTTTTCGTGCGATCTGCCATTTGTTTTGTATTTTTTTCAATGTAATAAATGATACTTTATACTTTGAAACAAATAAAATTAGTGTTCAAAAAATAGAACCAGGAATATTAACTAAGCGTAGCAGACAGCTGCAACCATTTTTTTACTAAGGCGTTGCCTAATGGTGTAAAGTTGTCGCGAATGTAAAACAATTTATCAATTTAACTGTTAACATTTAATCAGGAGATTTAGTTTCCAGTATATTTTAATTTCCAGTCTTTTAATTATTAAATTTCATTAACGATAAAAATTCTGACGCATGAATGGAAATCAGTTGATCAAATAAACACTTTATACGATTATTGTCGTTGCATAAACTGTAACTTTACCGATGGTTTTTGCTTCTAACATTCTCGAAGGAAAAATAAACTCGAAAACTTATTAGAAGCAAAGAAGCATATTTAAATGTCGAGTGTTATTTTAAAATTGGTTTTATTTATCAAAATAAAAATCGTTTATCAGTTTGAGAAGGAACATGTCCACAAGATATAAATTGAGTCAAAGAAAACAGATTCAAGTAAAATTTATTTTACAGGATTCCGCCATTTTAATTTTACATTCGCAACGATGTCAATGCAAAATAAATTCAATTGAATTGCTTTTATAGGATAGCAATTCATCTGATTTGTTGACAAGAAGTCGAGTCGTTATAGAGAAGACGAATTTTCTTCTACCCCCACCTCTGTCTTCTCCCCCCCTCACTTTATCCTGGAGGCCATCTCCGCACAGATGCATTACGTGCACAATAAAAAGAAAATCTGTAAAGAAAAGTACTTTAAACATCGTTTTGCTTTCGCACCAAATTCCTTTTTTGTACAGTTAAAGAAAAATACGCGGCTTTTATTTATTTTATTTATTCCACTTTTTTTTTCTTCATTTTCTTTCACAGGAATTTCTTTTCGCGTGCTATCGTACTCTGACAATGTTCGATGACGATGATGCAGGCACAGAGAATCGATTCCTCAATCTTTTTTTTTTTTTTTTTTTATATCGTTTGCTTTTTCTCTTCTTCAGTCTGAGTTTTTGGAGACGTTTTAGTTTGCTTTTTTGAAACAAGCTTTTTCTTTTCCTCCTTTGGCAACATGGAGTTCTTACTCTCCAACAAAGATTCTTCTTTCTTTATTCTGATCAGTTTGTGTATGTCGCAGGCAAAGCGATTTCTTGTTCTCTCATTTAGAATAATCGTCTGCATCTTGCTATTTCACAGGGACATTCTCCAAACTGAAGTAAAAAATAAAAAAACTTTTTGAACTTATTTTTATAAATTGAAGTGTAAAACACGGTGGCTTTAAAGATTATGCCAAAACGGTTTTCGCAAAGAATTTTTTTACCCACCTTCTATTGAAATAGCCTCTGTAATCCTAATGAACTCCCAAAACAAGTCCAAGAGATATATATACACCATCCGCAGAATTTCGAAATATCGTTTTTATTCTATTTCCTGAAAATGAAACTCTTCAATAATATGACATTAAGTTTAAAATCTAAACATTGACAATCCAGTCTAAATTTTACCTGTTTTTGTTTCATCATAATTAAATCATAAATTTAATCTATAAAATAAATTAAAAGTTATCGTTCTAAAATTAAAGATCAAAAACTCCATTGAATGACCTGTTCAAAAAGAGTGTTTTTTTAGAGAGTAATTATTCTTTTTTTTTTTACTTTGACAAATATATTCTACTTGGGGGGGAGTAGAGCAAAATGATTCTCTCGTGAATTTTTCAAATTAAAAAAAAAATCTATCTGAAATTTTCAATGTACATCTACAGTCTGTCCGCTATTATTATAACCCTGCCACAAAAAATTCTCCAAATAATCACACTTACGCAAAAATTTATTAAAAATGATTCGCAAAATAGTCCATCTTTCTTATTTAAAATATAATAAAAGTGTTTCACTATGCCCCAGGTTAAATGTTAACAATTATTCAAAAAATTCTATACCTATACAAAATATTTTTTTATGTTAAACATTAACATTAATAAAATTTTATACCTATACAAAATATTTTTTTTTATGTTAAATAATAACAATAGTTATAGTAGGGGCATTATATAGATTTTATTCTACTAAATGTTTTAAATAAATAACATCAGACAGTACATCATGGTCATCGTCAGTACAAAAACGTGGTTTACTTATATGAATACAGTTTTATTTTAACTTCATATTTTTAGCTAGATTGCAACTTAGTTTGTTTCAGCTTTTTGTTGCCATTGTGAAAAAAGAAATAAGAAATGCTTCCTCAGTTCTGTGGCCGCATGCAATATTTACCCTATATTATAAGCCTATAAGGGTCCTATATAGAAATTACTATTGGTGTATTATTCAAAGTCATTCTGGGATTAATATTACAAAATATAGATTCCCCAAAATTGGCTCTATATTGTAATAAATTCAATGCTTGATGCATGATATGTATGTGGTACATACAGATAAACATATACAGATATAACAATTTGACATTGTTGTAACTTATAAAAATAATCATCATTGAACGTTTTCATTTTTAAACAATGTTTTTTCAATTCGTACTATTAGTTCACACTCTTATATATTGTTCAAATTTTCTATCGTTCATAAAATACTTTTTATATTCATCCTTTCAAATTCAAATACATTTTTTTTAAACTTGTAGTGGTAGACACTTGATGTTAATACAGTTTTTTCAAATAATTGTTCATTAATAAAACTTAATGAATTAATTTTAGTTTTACATGGGCCAAAAAATTTTAATTATTTAATAAAAAGTAACTAAATTAAAGATTTCTTTGTTTACCTAAATAAGAATTGACTTTAATCAGGGGTCTGTTTAGAAGAAATTTGGGTCCGTTAACGGACCCTTCACAAAATATCTTTTCATAAAAACGGACCCTTCACAAAATATTTTAACTTAAAAGCGGACCCTTCACAAAATATTTTAACTTCATTATTGTTTTGTTAATCGAATAAATTCTTCCCAGGAAGGGGGGGAAGGAGAAAAACAGATGTAAACGAACTAAATTTTGTCTTCGGCAGACGATTCTTCCATTATTCGTCCGAAATGAATATTCTGCGTTCAGCAGTAAAGGCTAAATACAAATATTAGTATGTTGCATCTCTAATTTAGAAACAGCAATTGTTGTTTATTTTTTAAAATTTAATTTTTTTAATTATAATTTTNTTATTTTTTTTTATATTGCTTGTTTTTAATATTTTTTCATCTTAAAGTGATTCAAACAAAGAAATTTAATTTTATATCGAAATTCAAATTTACTCAAAAACTCATCGGACGCTGATATTAAAAAAGGAAGTGTTAAACGTATATTTGGAATCAGTGCCGCAAAAAAGAAGTATCCTTCGGAAATAAGTCAATTTATTTTAGCCGAGAGTCATTAATTTCAAAAGAACTTTTTTTCTTCCTATGACTTGACTTGTTGATGAAAAAATCGATATCAAATGAGATAGATGATAGAATTGGCGCCAGGGATGTGTTACTTCTTTGACTTTCTGTGTAGAACTTGAGCTTATTCTTTATGGAACTAGAGACAGGGATATACAAATGATAGACTGAGGAATATACAAATGATAGACATTTGTATATTCTTCAAATCAGTCTAGATCTATTCTTTTTATAGATTTTCAGTTACTTATAAGAAATACAATATATATTTATATATATATATATTATATTGTTTTATGAGGTGTACTATTTGTTCTTTTCATAAAAACCTTGAAATGATTTTTTCCTCAGAAGGGGTACATTTCTTACAAGCTCCCTATGCTTGAAGAAAAAAAAAGCATGTTAACTAGGTGTTTCGGTTAATTTTTTTTCTCCCCTGCTTACTCCCCTCATTAATCCCCGTGATTCTCTCTCAATCAGCTTTATTTTTTTTCTTGAAGGTTCATATTTTTCAGGAAAAAACAAACAAATATAATTTTGTTTATAAAACATAAAATTACAATAATTTACATCAGTACATTTTGTTACTATGTTAATCGACTCAAAATGACCAATGATTCAGACCTGAAAAATAACCTATTTTTTAACCTATATTTAATACCTAATTTCTTTTTCTTGAAAGTTAATACTTTTCAGACAAAAACAAATATTATTTCGTCTATGAAATATAAAATTACGATAATTTATATCAGAACATTTTGTTAATATGTTAATCGTAACAAAATGAACGATGATTTGGACGTCAAAA